CTTGTAACTATGAAAGGTGCATATGGTGCCGCTTGATTAGTAATAGATTTAACCTTGGAGTACGGGATCTAAATGTTCGGATAGTTTATTTGAGATATTCATGTATAAAGGCGCGATTGCTCTTTTATTTGGTTATATTTAAAAGAGAACGGCTTACAGAGAAACACCGGCTATTTGTACATTTAATCAATCGTTATTACATCTATCGGTTATACTTACATCTATTCTATGAGGTAAGTATACAAAATATAATATAATAATACATGTAATATGATATATATAAGGTAATAGAAATTAGGTAAATTAAACATATTGATAAGGCGTTCGTGTCGTGCTTAGAGATAGGCAAAATGCGCATTTTGCCGATCACCATGCAACACATTGCAATCTGTATGATGATCGGGAAAATTCGCATTTTACCCATCTTTAGTCGTATTGCAATTTTGCACATGATTAGGGAATAGAATCATTGAATGTTACAAATAATTTCGAAGTAGATTTTATTATATTTTTCTTGCGCAATACTTTTATAGTAATAACGATTACTATATAATTGCATATAGTAATGACATTCTTACTAATAAAAATGCTATATAAAGAGCCATTAATCGCTACTAGAAAGGAAATCACTTTTGTTAATTCCTTTTGTGTCTTTCGATAAATCCTTGTTTTATAATTTTTTTTTAATAAGTATTATTGTTTTTTTTATGACAATTTAATTATATCTAATTGCAAAGAAATATAAAATTCCTGATAATCAAATACAGTATGAGACCGGAAATCTTCAATAGGAAGATTTCTGGTAATAATATAAATATAGTTTACTACGTGCTAAAAATTATGATGAAGGTAGTCATGAGTGATACTTAATGCGATAGAGGGTTACCTATTAAATAAGACATCTGTTATCTGCATAGGATCGGATTTTGAGTCAGATATCCAGATCTCACTACTATTCAATAATGTTACGATTCCAGGAAAGTTTAGAGTTTGGCACAACCAGATGTAATACGAATCATAAACATTAAACTACGAGTATTTCCTTTATCGAATCAATTGACTTATTTAAGAATAAAAGTTTTAGAGTTATTTTTCAAAGACTGTTTCCAAAAAAAGGTTTTTTATTACTAGCGAGAAGCATTCCTTTTATAACTTTCTATTAATGTTAAAAAAAAAGTACTACAAATTAATGAAGCAATAAATTTTAACTACAAGAAAATTTAGTAATAACTATAAAGAATATAATCATGTAAGAGAGAATCATTGTGCTACTTCTAATAAAAAAATTATTAAATTACAAAACAAAAAAAAAATATGCCAATAAAATTTATCACGAAAAATCACGTCACACCTATTTGAAAATTCACGTCACTTAGACAAATTACATTGATCGTCATATCTAAACCTTTGATTAAAAAAAAATATTGCCGGCAAAAATACGTACTTATATAATCACTTCGTAATTGAACATGCAGAATCTTGTCTCACAATTAAATATGAGTATCAATAGCGACTTTTATTTAATTTTTATCGTTCCCATAATGATTATTTTAATAAAATTATTTTTCCTTGTTCATGTCATGTCAACGCTATTCGGACAACACCGTGAATAGCACATTGCAAAAAAAGCTTCTATACAAAATACCAAAAGAAGAAAAAAATTGTTAATCATGCCCCAAAAAATCGAATCTATGCCGAAGTTGGCCAAATCAGGTAGCAATTTTTTTAATGGGTTAAATAAAAAAAAAAGTTAAAGAAAAATAATTAAATAATTAATTAACATTAATAATCATTAATAATAATTAGTGGATAATTTAATAATTAAAGACATCAGAATCTGATCAATCGCAATTATATTATATTACGCATTGCTACACTGACCACGGAAACTTTCAATTCTTAATTTCTATTGGTTGTTTTGGACAAACGTTGCATCTATTTGATAAAACAGTAGAAACTTTTCTACGCTTTAGACAATAATTAGTGGGTTAATTAATTGAAAAATGAGAGCGTATATCGATTATAAAAAAGCGAAAAAATAATAATATAAATTCTATTTTTTCTCAGAATAATCCCACAAAATTCTCATATTTATTAATCTACTTTCCCCTTTCTCGTTAAATATTATAATAATTTTTTGAAAAAAAATTGTATAATACGTAATTACTATGGTAGACTCTCAAACGTGGTTAGACCAAAACTATCCCGACAATGGCCTTTGCATAAGAGTTGAGGATAGTGAAAATTATAACAAACCCAGAAACGCAATCGTTATTAATTTAGATATTAGTAATCAAAATTTAAAAGGCAATTTACAACTAGGCAGTTCCTTTTCCAAACTAAAAAAGTTTAACTGTTCATTTAATAAATTAACTGAACTCGGTTGGGGCAGTCTTGAAAGCATAGAAGAAATTGATCAATCTCACAATCAGATAAATGGCAGCAAAGATATACAAAGCAAGTTTGCTCCTAATCTCAAAAAATTAAATTTCTCTGACAACTATATCTCTGGCTTTAATTTAAGCACCCCCAAATTAGCTTATTTGGATGCTACGAATAATTTACTTACTAGTTTGGTTCTTAATAGCACGTCAAATTTAGTGGAGTTAAAATGTTCCAATAATAGCATTTCTAGCTTGACTTTAAGCAAATCTTTTAATCTTGTTCTTTTTGATTGTTTTGATGTTAAATTGGTCACTATGGTTCCAACTCCCACTTCTTCCCTTTCTTCTCAATCAACTTCTCGTTTCCCAACCGTAACAATCTACACCAACAACCCCACCCTCCTCGGAGGCACACTTTGTTTGTTAATCATAGGTTTCATTTTCTTTCACAAACGCTTTTTTCGAAGCCATGTTATCCCAACTCCGGGCAGTTATATTTATAATCATGAAAAAATTTAGTAAAAAAACTTTAGCATATGATTTTTGCGTAGGAAACTCCAGTGTACTTTAAATGTTAAATTCCTTTCAATTTATTCTTATTTTATCTTTCTAAAAAAGATAGAAATTAATTATGTTGCTATATTATATAATCATTGTATTTAATAATTCTACTCATTAGATATTAAGGAATGACAATTTTACATAAACTTTGTATTTAAAAAATTGTAGAGCCATAACACTTTTTATTAACTGAAAGATCTTACAATTTTCATTAATAGATAATTTCTAATTCTTTTACATGTATTATGTTATTGATTCAATTCCTTGGGAAAAGTTACTTAAAATTAAAAGAGATATAAGCCAAAGTTAAGCAATTTTTTTATATAACTAGTTTAACTGGTTTAGTTGAACTAGTTATTCTTGTAAAAACTGGCCAACTAAATGATTTCTGGTTTGTGCAAATATTTATTAAACATTAATAGTGATGCTCAGTACGTATTAATAACTCGATAGCCTTTGTTATAAATCCTCCAGAATGTAACTGATTTTTAGTTAAATACTCTCTAAAACTTTATTTAAATGTCATATGCCTAAGTTAGCTGTACGTTTTCCAAAATTCAACCAATTTTGCGCTATATACAAATGTGCAAAAAAATCCAGATGTAAGTCAAACGCCAATAGAACGTTTCGCATTTACATTTTATAGGCGTTTTGACTAAACACGGGAGTATGTTTTGTGTATGTTTTCAGACTATTCCAGTATTGTTTATCGGAAATTTTTTATATTATCTGATTGTTCTTTTTAATTGATTTATACATATATATATATATTTGGTTTTTTTTTTTTTTTATTAATTGATTTATATTAATTTATCCAATTAATATTTATCATTAGTGAGCGATTTGATTTTAATATATGTAAATATTTTTAAATACGTACGTATCTAATAAATCGTTAAAATTTAAATTTGGTGTTTAAATCTAATTGATATATAAGTATGTTAAAAATCGGATCTTTTGTTTTAAATCTAAACAGCTTATATGTTTGCTAATTACAGACCCAATGAGTAATAACTATAATGTTTAAATTTAAATAAATAAATCTTTCATTTAATTAATAACATGTGAACTATTTCATTTGTCTCGGTCTTGTAAAGTCAAGAAACGTCCGTCACGCAGAAAATAGTATAACACTGGTGAGATGAGGTGGCGCATCTATGCTTCCGATGAAGAATTTTTCAATTATTATTTATTTTTTTATTATAATTTTTTTCACGTTTAAACATGTAATAGAAAATTACTTACTAAGTCACCTGTGATCACAAAATTTTACCTGCTGAAATCACACTGGTTGCAAAATTAGTAAGGTGGGATATTAATCAAACAGATTATATTTATAATGCACTACTCGATACCGTTATTACGGAGAAAGTTTATTTGGCATTATAAATCTTTTATCCTCCAAATTTACCTTATTATATGAATAGGACGTGATGAAACTTATGTGAAAAATAAACATTGGATGATAAGATACAAGATCTTGCGGAAAGGTATCGTTTATTTTGCTGTATAAACCATACACTCATATACATTCATTCCTGGTATAGATAAATAAATTATCAATCGATCACAACCATAAATGCGATAGTATTCTAAAGATTCTTCTCATGCAATAAATTTATTTTGCGATCATGTGTTTGTATTATTTTTAGTAAAAGTAAAGTACCAATATACATGATAATGGTATATAATTGATTACTTAAGTGCAGCGAAAAAGTGGCAAAGCGGCCATTATTACAGGATCAGATGACTTTACGACATCATATGCACAATTTGTCGTTTTAGCTTCATAAAATATTCTTGTGATGTTAATTAAAATTATGATCGCATATGATTGTTAGGTGTCACGCTGATAACACTGATATAAATTTTATGTATGAAATCAGCAGGAGGTATTGTACGTATATTTAAATATTGTCGTTCAATAGTAACAGATTATATTTCTCTTCGCTATCGTTAGATGGGTTTTGGGCTTCGCGCAACAGCAGTGCAAGAACTCATGAGTTTAACAGCATCCTCATCATTTCACAAATGACTATATAACTGATGCCTTTGAAACTATATTGATCTCTCCTTGATGGCTAGTTTCCGTATGCTTAGATATTCTAGATTGGTTAGCTCAGTAGCATTGGTTTCTTAGAGAGGCAATATTTTAGTTACAGGTAGGACCTGTAAAAGATTCCTATATATTTTTCAATTGTGATTAATAAAGTCATCTGTCATCTGATTGTGCAATAATAATTGCATTCTTAATAGATTGAATTTCAAATTAAGGTATATTTGAGATAATAACACTGTTATAGTCCATTAATGAATTGTATCATCATCGTAAAAATATTTTTAGTATGCAACATTTTCGGTTTTCGTTAGCATTTATTAAGAAAACTAATTAAATTTGCAAAAAAAATAACAATTCTGATGAATATCAACCCGAAATGGGAACTGTGGTTAAAATAAATAAGTATAAAGCATCTATATACTATCTGAAAAATGAAATCATTTCTTTTGATTTTAAGCAAATACGGAGTATTTAGTCAAAATTCCGTTTCTGGGTTTGCGTGATAACGTCGTGCAATTACGAGTGTGCCAAATTGATTAACAAAGATTTGATTATACGGAAAATCCCAAAAAATAAAAATAATGTCATTTTTTTTCACCAATACATGCTGCAGTCTCTTCTTTAAAAGGATTGCCGGTATAAGTAAGGTCGGTCATATTATTGGGGCATTGTTTATTATTATATATGGTTTAGAAACATTTAAATAAAAGAATTCATTCATAATGTCATAAAATATATCTACAAATAGAATAAATTTTCTTATCAATAAGGACTGAGGAATGGGTATCTTTTTCATTTTGAATAAAGCAGCAATAGTAAAATTTGAATAAAGCAGCAATAGTAAAAATAAAGTTGAGAAAAGTGTAAATGAAATAATAAATTAAGAAACTATTTATCGAAAAGTTAATATTTGTAGCACGAGATCATTTAAATTAGGCAAAGATAGATATATCGTAAATAAAAAGGCTAATCACAATAGAAACTTTATTTTTCTCAGCAATCCCACAAAATTTCTCAAAGTATCATTTTTTTAATTTTTCCTTTTCTCGCCAATTATTATAATAATTTATTGAGATAATCATAACTATGGTAAACTCTCAAATCTGGTTAGACCAAAACTATCCCGCAACTGGTGCTTGCATAAGAGTTGAAGATAAAGAAAATTATGGCAAAACCAGAGACCAAATCGTTAATTTAGATATTAGTAAGCAAAATTTAGAAAACGGTTTACAACTAGGCAGTTCCTTTCCCAACCTAAAAACGTTGAACTGTTCATTTAATAGTTTAACTGGACTTTCTTGGAACTTGCCTTCTAACCTAGAAGAACTTGATGAATCTTACAATCTTTTAGCTGGCAACAATTTTCATCTACAAAGCTCTCCTAATATCAAAAAATTAAATTTTTCTCACAATAGCATCACTGCATTTTATTTTGAAACTCCCAATTTAGCTTATTTGGATGCTACTAGTAATTTACTTAATATTTTGGATCTTCATAGCACACCAAATTTAGTGGAGTTAAAATGTTCCAATAACCCCATTTCTAACCTGACTCTAACCCAATCATCCAAACTTGTCCTTTTTGATTGTTTGGGCGTTAAACTCGACAAAAATAATGTATCAACTCCTACTTCTTCCCCTTTGACTCCTTCAACTTCTCTTTTCCCAACCGTAACAATCTATTCCAAAGATCCCACCCTCCTCGGAAGCATTATTGGGCTGGGTGTCTACTCGGGAATATGCACACTTGGAATGCTAATCTTAGGTTTCATTCTCTTTTACAAACGCTATTTATTAACAAATGTTATCCCAACTCCGGGCAGTTCATCTAAGTGATAATTTTATAAGAAAGGAAAATTAGCTTCTTTTTCCACGTAATTCAAGTTATTAAATCTATTAAACTTATACCAATCTATTCTAATAAATATCTTTATCATATCGAAGTAAATTATTTTTTGAGTTTGCATATTAATTATGTTTCGGCTGATATTGAACTATTCTGGCTTTTTGCATGGGAACTGTGCAAAATCCCCAATCCTCACAATCCCGATGGTACATAATCCTAACAAATTAAATCTTGGGATTGTGTAGAATCTCGACATACAAAATCTTTAAATACTAAGATCCTGATTAGTACAAAATCTGACAAATGAACTCTTGAGATTGTGTTGAATCTTGACATACAAAATCTTCAAATACCAAGATCCTGACAAGTACAAAATCTGACAAATACAAAATCCTGGCAATACAGAATTTTGATATGAAAACATAAATTTAAATCTAAAATGCAAAATATTAGAGTTAATAGTCAGAATTTTTAATTTCGGAATTTTAAACAGTCAGGACTCTATACAGTACACGTTGGGATTTTGCACTTGTCAGGATTTTAGCATCTCAAGATTTTGTCTGTCGGGATTATGTGACATCGGGATTGTGGGCGTCTAGATTTGGACCAAACCCTTTTTGCATTAATATAAAAATTTTCATTACTTTCATAGTCTGGAATCTTTTTCTTTCTCATCTAGTTTAATTTCTTATTTCTTTTTTCTGCAAATTAATTTTTAACTTTTTTAATTCTTAATATTTAGGCGTAATAGTCCCATCATTGCCTTCTATCTCACGCGTGTTTTCTTTTTTATGCTAAATATAAAGAAACCATATACACATGACCCTCGTTAATATCAACCTACATTAATTTCAACCTAAACCATAAGACAAATTTTTATAAATTTTTATATATCAAAATTCCCTCATATATATCAACTTTATTATGATTCCTTACTAATATCACACTATCAGCATGAATATATGAGTAATCCAAATAGGTTGATATTAGCGAGGGTCAAGTATACATTTTTCCGAAATTCAAACAATCATATACATTAAATTAGGATATATAAATTTAAAATTAAGTTGTGTCAGATGCATAAGATTAAAATTACTAATCTGTGCCAAATTAATAATTTTTTTCTAAAGTTAAATTTTTAATTACACTTATACAGTTAATCTCTCTATACTCATCTCATCTATAATTACAAATTTAATATAATTACAAATTTATTTTTATTAATTATTGTCATTATGTTTTATGTAGAGTTTATCAAAAAAGAGCAATAACTTGTAGTTTGAGTTTTATAGCAGAAAGTTAATATTTATAAGGTAAAGGTTTTAAAAATAAAGAAACAAAATTACAAATAGAATGGAGTATAACTTTATTAGATTCAAGAAGCCTAAATTTAGTTTAAGTATTTATAGCTAATATTACAGTTAGATCTCTATAAATGCAATTTTTTAAATACATGTTCTATAAATACAACTATAAATACATAGTTTTGCTGTGTTTCTATTATATATATTTATAGATTTGTATCTTTCTAAATACAATATCTCTCTAAATACTAAGTTTTTAAAATTATATAGTATCTATGTGAATTGTATATAAAGAGGGTTAATTGTATTAGATTCTGGAAATTCAAACCTTATATTCTAAAATTAACAGAAAACATTAAAAAAAAACTAAAAATTTAAAATTTTTTAAAAAAAAAACTTAAAAGTTAATCTAAAAAAATAATAAATTTAATAATATAATTTTTTATATATTTAAATTAATTAATATAAATAAGTTAAAAAATATATTATAAGATTATTTTAAAATATTATATACACTGTTTTGCTATATTTCTAATATATTTTTTATAATATTATATTTATTTAAAGTTTATTAAAAAAAATTGTTATTTAACAAATAAATTATAAGTAACTAAAAACAACTTAAATAATTAAATCTATTTAAAAATTTATTATAAAAATATTATATAGTTTATAAGTTAAAAATATTAGAAATTTGTTATTAAAAAAGAATTAAAATAATTTATCTAATATATCTGGCTATCTAATAATAAAATTATTTTAACTAATATAAATTTTAATACTATAATTTATCAATTTAATCATTAAAAATTTTTTATTCTAAAATTTATAAAAAATTATAAATATTAAATATTTATAAGCATAGA